CTCACCTCAGCCTTCCTGGCACCTAGCAGACTTGTGTTTCTATCTCGTGGCCTCCCCAGAAAATTGCTGGGATGGAGACAGATCTGAGTTTGAATCTCAGCTTCCCACCCTTCTAGCTGTGTGACTTTAGACAAGTTAGTGAACTGTCTGAACTTCAGTTTCTGCGCATATTTCACGTGGGTGTTGAAAGGTGTTGAAGTGATCAGTGTGACGCACACTGGCCTGCTGCCTTCTCTTCTAAAAGGACCTACATGATGGGAACTTGACTACATCCCTGGACGATTTGCTGGCATCAGGATCTGGAGCACCAACTCTCCAAATGAGATTCATGGCCTCACAGGACAGACATACACTGATTCCTGCCCTGTCCCTAAAATGCCCTACTTTCTTTTTTTTTTTTAATGAATTTTTTTTTTAAGAGACAGAGTCTCACTTTGTTGCCCTCAGTAGAGTGCTGTTGCATCACAGCTCACAGCAACCTCCAGCTCTCGGGTTTAGGCGATTCTCTTGCCTCAGCCTCCCCAGCAGCTGGGACTACAGGCGCCCGCCACAAGGCCAGGCTGGGTTAGAACTGGCTACCCTGCATATGGGGCAGGTGCCCTACTCACTGAACCACAGGCGGGCCAAAATGCTCTACTTTCTTAAAGGAGCTCTCACTCTAACTCAGCGGATATCTTTTTGGTTTACCATTTCTAAGTGGCTGATGTCATTTTCCCCCAGTGGGCATAAGACCTCACATTCAGAGGTCCTTCCTAGAATCTGCCCACTCTCTAATCCTCTGGGAATCGTGCCTAACACACAAAGTTTGTTGTACAGGCAATGGTTATACTCGAGAATCTGAAAATCGACCTTCAGGTATGAGAAATATGCCTTGAGGGTTTGCGAGCACTCCAAGACACACAAACTAGGTCACTAAAAGGCACCTCTGCCTCCGTGGTTTTCACGGTATCTGCGATAGGATTAGAAGCCTTGCCCAAGCACTGGTCTCACAATGGAAAATACAGGAGCCACCACAGGCAATGATGCAAAAATGAATAGTAAGTAGAGACAAAGAAAACAGTGGCTTTCAATGTATTATGAAAAGTTTTCCCCAAACTTTAGTGACTGTTCATTGGTAATGAGTACAGCTGCAGCTCTCTTTATCATCACACATTTATCCTAAGACTTCTAGAGACACCGACTTGTAATTTTAGACATCTGTAATTCTGAAGATGTCTCTACTGGAAAGTGTCAGAGGAAAAAACCAAAACTTTTCCAGCTTACTTTCTCACAGACAGGATTCTTCACAGCAGCCCTTCGCAATTCTTCAGAGAGTGATTGCAAAGGAATTTCTTTCAAAGGACGGAATACATTTAACTCCAGAGAAGAGATTTTACATTTTTAATGTTTTTTTTTTAATTTCCACTTAATTACTATAGTCAATTTTTGTTTTTTAGTTTCCAATTATTATTCTCAGCATAGCCTACTCACCATGATTTCTAAGCCTTACTTGTACACACGGGATGATTTTAATTTTTGTCAAGGCAATTGGAGATAAATGCAAGGAACAAATTCAGGCCAAAGGAAAACTAAACATTTTTCTGCTGAATGTGCCAAAAGTTGGTCAACATGCCTACTTTAGAGCTTCTTCTACCTTTCAAGCTTACACAGGGCCAGGAAGCTTTCACCTGTTATTGCCTCACTTTTTTTTTTAACTTTCTAGGTGTAACAAAGTTGCAAAGGCAATTTCTTTTCTAAAATAATCCTGAACGCTTCTGCTAATCTTCTGCATAAAAGTTACTCTACATACAAGTATCTGGAGATAATATTTCAATGAGTCATTTTAGTATGACGTGACGTGTGACAGAAATCACAGAAAAAACCATGTCCTACCTTTATGGGGATTCAAAAAATCAAGAAAAGTGCTGTCTAGAAAGAGCCCCTTTCCCCCTCACTTCTGTGGTCGAAGAGGGCGGACCCACCCTTTTTTCCCCATGGATGTTTATTTTTTTCACTTCATTTTCCTCTCCAACCCATTATTTCCAAAGCCTTAAAGATAACTTTTACAATGGCCTTTCTGTAACTTTTTTCCTTGCTGGGTATGTCTGCAATGCGCCCCAACTGGTTTTGTCTGGATCAGGCACAGGGACTGCTTCTCTCCCCAATCAACCTTGTTCCAAGTCCGCTGCTGAAGAACTTTTATTTGCTGCTCGTGTGCAAGTGACTATGAGCACTGCCCAGCAGGACATACTCTGCCATCCCTGGATAACGGGCATGATGATTTTCCACTGCCTGCTAAGGTTTTCCTCACCCCACTCTTTGCATCAATTTGGGATTAAGCTTTCCTTCTATCTCTGTCCCCTTTCTGAGTACCTGACTTTCTGGATTTGATCCTCAGCTTTTGGCCCAAATTATAGTTGGAAGAGGCATCTACACCCCCAGTTTAAACAGTGTGCTCCTGGGTTCTGGATTCTGTTTCTTAGGAGTCTTGTTTTCTATTTCCTGTTGCTTTCAAAGCTTCTAAAAATCATAAAGCCAGCACCGCCTGTCCTGGAGCTGGATCTTGGCCAGTACATAATATACAGTAGTTAAGTTTTTAAAAAGTCATTTGGCTGAGGAGGGTTTGTACTATCCTTAATCAAAACATCCAGAACGCTGTGTCTGGAATGGTCTAGATGTCAAGACTAAAGAGGTATGACAATCACCTGACATGCTTATACCCAGATTAAAAATCAAATAGCTATCGAGGCTATTATTGGTACAAGGAGTAGAGATTTTAACCTGGGCTGCATATTATGTAAAAGTATTCTATCACTCTTCCTAAGCTTCTTGACTGTGGTAACTCTGTGGTTACAGGAGAATGTTCTCATTCTCAAATATCAAGTGTGAAGTGTCATAATCTAATTTACTCTTAAATCATTTAGGAAAAAAGCCTCTCTAGAGAATGAGAAGTACACACCCCCAAGCCCCCAAAGCAGGGCAGAAGGGACAGAATGTGAGCAACTGAAAACTGAAAGTGAAAGGTAAAAGGGCATTCGTTACATTATTCTTGCATTTTTTTCTGTAGCTTTGAAAATTTTTAATAGAAAAAGTTGGGAAAACAATGAGAAAGTCAGAGGAGAAAAGAAGAATTTTACAAATCAGTTCTGAAACCAAACACAAATACTTTTTTATTTATGGGATATCATTTTACATCGATTCCATTAATACCTAAAACCAGTTTGCTATACTCGAGTTAGGTGGCAGAAGAGTATTTCAGTTACGCTGGGAGTCACAGGACTTGCACACGTGTGTGGATGTGATGCAAATACTGACGACACGAAGCTTCACAGTCACAGGGTAGCTGCTGTTCAGGAATAGTAACCCCTCCCCCCATAGAAATCATTTTATGAAAAAAAGCAACCCACATTTTGGTCTCATTTACAGACACCCAACGTTTTAGTTGGTCAATGAATTCTATACATTTATTATACAACATATGAAAGAATAAAGGATAAGGCTTACAGAGGTATTTCAGCAGTTGTAAGAATAAAAACCAAGGGCACAAACTAACTTTTAAAGCTTTCTGTAGAAACTTCAAAAGCACTGTGAAAATAGAGACTGAGAGGCAAAATAAATCTGTTAAGCCAGAATCTAGAGCTTTGTCTAGTCAGATTTATAAAAACGTAATTCAGAGTTCATGCTTCAAAAGAGGTGCATGTAATATTACAGGGGACGCTTGTGGCAAATCAAATAATGAAATTTCTGACCAACTGAAGCAGTAAACATCTATAACTTCTATTCCATTATGACAGGATATTGTCATGTGGAGTTCAAAACACAATAGAGAGAAGGGGTGTAGACTCAGGTAATAAAGAAAAACCAGGGAAGGCATCCCTAATTTACTTAACATTAGCCAGTAACTTAGGGAAATTTTAAGAAAATGTGTTTTATTACTCCGTTCAGCCCTTTTTAGCCCCTTACAAATAACTACATTAACTCAAGAAAACCAAGGGCAAACAATCTGCTGTCAGTAGTCACAGAGGTTTATTTTTCAAAGTAGTTTAAGGATTATTTTGAGTTTTCTAAATATACAAGATCATCCCTTTGGAATTCCATGAACTAGTTTTGACTTGAGTGTTTCTCCCATGTTCACTGTGGATGAAATATAACATCTCCCCTGGGTAACAGGCCTAACTGTGCCAAGTGTTTGAAAATTTTTTAGATTCTAACATAACATTTAAAATAATTTTGTGTATGATTTACATTTACTTTACATACAATGGCAGTTAATCAAATATAAAACCACTGCCTTTACAGTCTAATTGTTTAACTTTAATGGGGGTACCTTTGAAAATGAATCAATTTTCCATAGATCTGAGCCGGCCGATGGCCAATCAGCACTGCAATACACAGGCATCCAGCACATGGGTCTTAATAGCTGTTGCTTGCCGTCAACACTTTCCACTCTTCTCAGATATTAATTTATGCAAACTGGTATTAATTTATAAGGTTAAAGTGAGTCTATAAACAAGGAATGGTTAAGTATTCTTAATCTCTACAGAGTTTTTGAAACTTCTGGTTTATTTCACAGCAAACCAAATCTTTCTATTTGGTAGAAAAAGAAAGTAGTTGCGTTCTACCATATCATGATTTTGTATATGCACACGCACTGTATATACATACAAAATTTCTGTCTTTGGTGGTTTAGTTAGGGAAAAAAAATATGAAAATCTGAACACTGTTTGCAAAGAAACTGTAAAACAGTGGTCAAGAGTGGCACTGTCTGTGTGCTTTAGTCATTTAACGCCATTGAAAGGTTCACATGTCATCTGAAAGACTTCTTGGTCAGATTTCCAAATAATCCAAACTTCTTCCAAGCATCACATGCTCAATCATGGATCTTGCCGACAACTACAGCACTTACTTGTTCAAATGCACCATTAGCTTTTTACTTGGTCAAATCATTAGACTGTTGTGTTTTCACAGAACTTCAGGAACACAATTATTGTCATTTAATAGCACCAGGTAGTTGGGGTAAAAACCTGCTGTATCTACATTTCCTCAAGAAAGGAAAAAAAAAGACATAAAATACAAACCAAAAAATACCATCCTGTTTACTCTTGTTTCCTCATCCACATAAATAATGGCTATCCCCCTTCTGTACAAATGACTTAGGGAATGACAAGTGGCCCCTCCCGGACAGGTCTTAGCACGTTCTGGGTCATCTCAATGCTGGTGGTTTCGTGTCCACTGCCTGCAATGGACGTGTTGCCAGGAAAAGCCTAGCATGAAAGAAAAAACAAGGAAAGCAAAACAGGGCAAACAGAACACCTCTCATTTACGGTATGGTTCTTTTCCCAAAAAACCCAGAAGATTAGATACCATAAAAGCTGAACTAAAAATTCCAGCCACAACTCAAAGTGCTCCGCAGATACAGACTAGACTGCCAGCGGGGTTTCCATGGAGGAGGCAAACCCCATTTTGTGCTGAGCGGCACGGAAGGTACCCGCACACCGGACACTGGCTGGAAGAATGCGAAAGGGAAGAAAGGAAAAGAAAAGCCATTAAAGAACACAAGACTTTAGACTCCATTTTTAAAAAAGGTGCAATTTGAATTTGCTCATTTGTACCTATATTCAAGCTACTATAAACATTAAAAAACAAAAAAACTATACTTTGCATGGTGGAAATGATCTGCGGCATGTTACACGTCTACGTGTTCAAATAATTCTAACTCCCATCATTTAGAAATGCTAATATTGTTAAGTAAAGCAAATTATATTTGGCATATGCCTCAGAAAAGTTAAGACTCCCACCTCCTTCCAAAAGTTGGCCTCAAACATCAAGGTTAATTCTGGCATGACAGCTCATAGCCAGGGTTGTTTTGTCTTGTTTGCTGAAATGCTACATTTGAGACCAAATAAACGATGAATGGTTGATTTGAAAAGAGGGACTAGAAAGATGCCACAAAATTATTTTTACAATACATTTTTGCAGAAATAATCTCTAGGTGAAGCTTTTTCTTTTTATACACATATACAAAATTTAAACAGCAATATACACATAATCACAGTGAGGACGTTGGCAAATTCACCAATCTGTAGTGTAAATACAAACTGCAAAGCAGTCTTCCAAGAGAACAATGCCACGCGGCGGCTGGCCTGGTCAACAGCAAACACCACAGCGTCCCTGGGAGGGGAGACAGTGCAAGAAAAGCAGCATGCGCTTGGATACGAACAGCAATTTATGGCTAATGGCGACACAACTGTGGGAACAGTGACTCTCGCTGCTGGGCACACAGTCCTAGGACATCTGTCTGTCTTTATACCACTCCACAAACTCGTCCAACAAAACTGGCCCTGGAGAGAGGGAGAGAGAAAACACGTGGGTCTGAGGCTTTTCCCAGGGAGGACACGTAGGGACGGACACGGAGGGAGAGTAATGTACAGATGTACACGGATGGATGGGGGAGTAATGTACAGACATCAGAGGATGGGGGAGAAGAGCGCCAGTACTTACACGCTCCATCTTCGTCGTAGTTGCTGAGGTCAAGGTTAATTGTTCTGCTAAACTCTAGGACATTGCACCACTGGTCTTTATTAATAACTTTATATTTTGATTGCTGATGGAGGGAAAAGTAATATGAATTACTGACAATTGAAATGAACACGTGGGACGGTTTCAATTGCTGCGCGAGTCAACTGAGTACAGTTCACGCCAGGTTAACACTTCCATCGGAGCTGTGCTGAGCACCGTCCAGAGGAAAGTGAGGGAGAGCAAGAACAGAACTTAAGATGACAATTTTCATCACAGCTCAACACGAGATGGCAAGCACATCAAAGAAACATGATTTTACATTCCCAGTAGTGAAGCTTCTAGACTGCAAAAGCCCTATTACATAAAATGGGGATAACACCCAAGAGGTAATTTCCATAAATTACGCCTAGTACCTCATTCAGTGCTTGGCACAAAGTAAGTGCTAACTGAGGAACACTCCCGTCACGAACCCCCGATACCCTCGGGACTGCCCACGGCCAAACTGTGCAGGTGGTCACTCCATGAGACCACTAAGCGCTGCAGATGGGCTCAAACCTAGACGCTCTTATCAGTGAAGAAAACTACTGCTCTAATAATTCAAAACTTGAATCCAGTCATAAAACAAATAATAGCTGTGAAGTAGTTTTTCTACTCCTCTTAGATAAGAACTATGCCATATGTATATTTGAAAACACAGCATCCTTATATAAAGATTTAAAGATAAAACCCAGAATCAACAATTGTTCAATCCTTACCACCAAAATCAGGAACATAGTAAAACAATACAAGTACATAAAAAGCAAAGAGTTGGGCCAATGGTTTTGAGGATGCAAACACAAGAAAAGTCAAAATGAAAGGATTATTATCTCCTTTTAAAAGAAAAATGCAAACTAATAAAAGAGTGGAAACAAAACAAACTGAGTTTTACTTTCTAAGCCGTGAAAAGCAAAGATCAGGCTGAAACTCTTGATGATGTGCCTGGAATTGTGCAGAGTCAAATTTCCTCCCAGCCAAGACTTTCAAGGATGAAACCTCTCTACAGTCAGGTGCATATCCTCCTAAGTTCTCTGACAACAGCAAATCATTTCTGTTTCTCTTCCAAATAGCGCTAACTTATCTGATGGGTGTCAGAGCAATCCGAACATACGTAGATTTGGATTCCAGATAAATACACACTTATGTTAACACTAGTTTTTGTAACTTTCTTGAGGAGCCTCAGTAACATTAAAAGAAATTTTTAATACTGTGTTTCCCCGAAAATAAGACACTGTCTTATATTTATTTTTTCTCAAGAAGACACACTAGGGCTTATTTTCAGGGGATGTCTTATTTTTATTAAGTATAATACAACAATCTACATTTACTCAAATACAGGGAAGTCATCTTCTGGAACACTGGGAAACTGACCTTGTTGGTGGGGCTGGTGCTAGTGATGTGTGAACCCCTTTCCCCTAGCCATTCGCAGGTGCGCAATAGGATGCCTGTGACCATAGTTACCACACCTGCGCACCAGCGCAAGTGCAAACGGCTCAGAGAAAAGAGCTGTGGCAGATAAAAGGTATTCCAGTCTTCCTTACCGCTCCCCACCAAAATGCATGGCATGGCTATGCAGATACACTGCATAGCCACGCCCATCACTAGGTCTTATTATTGGGGTAGGTCTTATTTTCGAGTAACACCCGAAAATAGCAAGTCCTAAGCAGTCCTCAAGGAATTAGGAGCTAATAGCAGTCCTCAAGGAATCAGTTAAATTTGTCCGGACCATCACATAAAGCTGTAAGAGATTATTTCATGAAGTGAGGTTGGAGTCAGAGTGAGGCCCGGGATTTTCTCAGAGACCCAACATCTTCATCCTTGCAAGGAAAAGGACATTTTTTAAAGAGGGCTTGGGGCAGGAGGGCAAGGAGGATGCATACATGACAATCAAAGAAACTCAACTTCACATTCCAGACCCTTCCAGGCCAAGCAGGAGGACATCTCAACATGACCAGCTCCTAAGAGCCAGTAGCTCAAACTTTCTGTACATCAACCCTTAAAGCAACAGCCAGCACTGAGGGATGGAAGTGCAGGACTGTCTCTGATGTAGATCTGAGAACCATTTAAACTGAAGGGGATACTGGCGGCTCGTCGAACACCTAGACTGATCTAAGGTCCTCAAGTTACTCGGAGGGGAAGAGGCAGTAAGAACAGATTACAAATGAATTTTAGTAAGAAGGCAGATGGCTGTTTTTTAGCCTTTGCTTAATAAAAGTGGGAATTCATGTAAAGTCCAAAGAAAGTAATTCTTGTTTTTCTATTGTTACAAAGAGCAGGACATCCAAACAAAAGTGAAGCTTTAACATGGGGAGGAGGAAGGAGAGGGCAGGGCAGGGCGGTGGATGGAACGTGGAATGTAAAACACACAGTAACTGAGGGCACAGGTGCGCTGAAGACGGTGACGCCGCCTGACAGCAACTGTGTCACCGCAATTCCTACAGGCAGAAAAGTACAACAAACAAGAAATTATATACAACGATTAAATAAAGTATATTTGGTAGTTCTAAGCAAGCAAACACGTATTTCATAAAACAACAATTTGGTACCTCTAAGAATTGGTGAAAAACTGGAAAAAGGGGCCAGATTTTTCCTAATAACAGTCCCAACATGCACTTGGCAGTGTTTATGTCTAGGCTGCGCTGGTCCTTTTCCTGTTTAACAAACAAAAACAAGGATGAGCCAGGTGCCCCCAGATAGTAAATTCCAGTAATCCACATGCGGTATTTTACTTTGACAAGATATTAGTAAACAGCTCATTTATCACACACTGTAAAAACCCTGAATTGAGACTGGGGGAGATCAAACACAACAGAAGCTTGAGCATTTCAGTATTATGTAAATTCATCGTGAGAAGATTCATGTCACTTGAATGATCCCCCTAATGCAAAACCAGTTAGTTAATGCAGTATCTACAATCATTTCACAGGATAAGTCTATAATAACTTGATTACTGGCTTGACATTTGGATAATTATCAAAATCATCGTTGACCCTAAAGCCTGTCACTTAACCAAATAACGTTGAAAGGGTTTAACTCCCATACTTAGAAATCAGGTTTCCTTAACAAAAATGACTTTTCCAACAATGTGACTTCATTGATGAATTGTTTCTTGTGTCTAGAGATGCTGGAATTAAGCTCAGCTCACAACAAATGCTGGGGCCCTGGAGATTCTCTCCAAATCAGAGGATACATTCACGTGTCCACTTGGGGGAAAGCAGGGGTCTATCCGTATAGTCCTTCTTACCTTGGGTTTCTGAGATGTGAATCTCCTAGCAGAAAGCTCCTAACTAGTAACCAAATGAAAGACAACATTTCATAAGGCAACCAGAAAAGAGAGAGCACATAAACCTCACGGGGGCACGGTGGGCTCACCGCACAGCACTGCAGTTAGAGACCACGACTCCTCACTCCCCCCTTCTCATGTTTCCATTCCAGAACTACACGTGGGCAGTTTCTACAGAAGGGACAGTGAGTGGACCTTACGCATCCCACACTAGCGTCTAGGTGGTATCTCAACTACAGTGGAAATGTGCAAAGGTACTTCTCTGTAAGACAGGAAAGTGCCCAGCTACACCAGTGGAGTGGCATCCAAACACTCACATAGAGATGATGCTGGGACCACCACTGTCAGCCACGTGTGGAGTCACACAGACCTCCCGATAAACTAAACTGTTGCCACGAGGGGACTCGTAACAGTGAGGGGCTCTTAGTACACAAAGAACTTCTAGCCATGACACTGAGTTGGGACTTAAACAATATACAGCAAGTGTGAGGGCCTCACCCAACGGTAGTGAGCAGGGCAGGTGGGGATACAGAGAGCAGCTGCTGGAGGGAGACGTGCCATGCCACAGGGCTTCGGTCTCAGGCAGGAAGCACAAGCACTGGTCGCTAAGGGACCAGGTCAGGTGGCTCCATGTCCCTCTTCTCTGTAAGAAGGTGTACAACTTAAGTCTGCTGATGGTCAGGGTGCCCCAATTCCATAGTCCTATACAAACAGGTGGAGGCTCCTTCCACAGCGTGCTCGGCCTGTGCTGTGGCTGTGCCGATGGTCCTGCTCAGGGCTGCAGTTCTCACTCCCACCGGAGAGCAGGACAGGAGCAGAGGCCCCAAGAGACTGCTGCCTTCTGCCACCCAAACCTACTGGCTGATTGAGTTTCGAGGGCTTATATGTCTGCTCTACAAAAGTGAATGAAAAACTTCCTTTTTTCCCTGTGACGAGGGTGTGGCAGATGGCAACAGCATACCATACCACGAAGCAACCCAAAAGAAAAACAAGTAAATTGCTGAGAAACACACGTGGCCCCACAGGACTGGGCCAAAGTCCATCCACTGAACAGCAGCTGACGCCGCACCGGCCACAACTCCAGCGCTCGGGAGAGTTTTCCCTTTGCAGATTTGTGATCATCCCAAACCCCAAATCTCTATCTTGCTGTGACATGTATGTGCCTTCCTCCACCACCTTCAGTGCCTACACCCCCATCACAATGGACATACACTACGGTGACAAAAAAGAAAAAAGATACAAAGGACCTGGACAGACTCTTTGCAACAATAGCGTCATCTGACAAACTGATGATCATGAAGGGTTTCAATGCGCATGTTTGGCAGTGATGCCAGAACACGGAGGAGGCATCAGACTCACAGGGCCGGGAAGCTGAACAGCACTCACTCACTCTGCTCTGCAAGGGTGCCAGGCGGCAGCTCCCAATCACTAACACCATCTTCTGCCTAGCAAACAAGAGAAAGATATTATGGATGCACTCACAGTCTGAACAGCAGCGTCTCACCGATACCCAACATTGCCTGGGTGGGCGTGCAGCTAAGTGCAAATGACCATGACTGGAAACACACAGAATTCCCGAAACAACACAGCCGAGACCCCACAGCAGACACCACTACACAGCAAACTGGAGGCGCGCCAGGGGCTCTCTGACAACATGGTCCTCATGGCCCTCTCTGCAAGGGGCTTCCCGTTAAAAGTGAACTGACTCTCCCAGGATGCTATCAGGTATCAGCATTATGGGCATGAAAAAAAAAAATCACCTTAACAAATTTAAGGAGTGCACTAAAGACATCCAAAAGCTCTTGACAAGAAATTAAAATACTATACTGTCCACACCAATCCTGTGATGCTCTGCTCATGTGGTACCAAGGAGCAGGGGCAGACCAATAGATTTCTGCTTCCCAAGGTCAGAATCTGAGCAGAGAGCACCCTGAGACAGCCCGCCAAGAGCCAGCCAGCACTCCCAGAAGGACCATCAAAGTTAAAGAAGACATGAAGACTTTCTGTCTACCCACCTCCTGACCCAAAATGTGTACGTATGTATTTCATATACTTGCATCTCCTAAGATAAGTTAAAAGTAATTTCTGTGTCATTTTTGAAATAGCAGGAAGTACGCAGGTTCTACATACCCAAGATGCACCAACCCCTCCCCATGTAACTATTCTCTGCCTTGTTCCCTTCTCTTCCCACATACAGATTAAAACCAGCAAGCATAGGATGACACCAGACGTTCAATAGTGACGCTGCAAAACCAAAGAACCCTACTCTGAATAGTCTAAAAAGCAATAAAATCTTATTAAGGTCTGAGACTTAGAGTTCCAATAGGAAAAAGAACAATTCTTTTGTTTATAAAATAGTGTTTTGATATAGGTCCTTCTGTAAGATGTTGTGACAATTCAGCATTTTTCCCGTAGGTGGCACAAATGACTTAAACAATAACTGAAACAAAACAAAGAGTTAACTGTAAATACGTAAATGTGGAAATATTGCAAAATGAATCTTTAAACAACTAGGTTTCCAAATGTGCTACATCAGAGGCCGTGTTTCAGGCGATCTATTTCCAACTTTCACCAGATTTTAATAGCTTGAGACTTTATGTGAAAAGAGGAACTTTCAATTACTGAATCTCCAATGGGAAAAATAAATGCACAAGATTTTCAGGAGAGACTAGTCAGAATCAAGGAATATATGTAAACAATCACCATTCCAAACATGAACGGTGAAAACCAAAGCCCTTGAGGGAAAACTCTGACCCCTGTCGGGCACTCTCCACGGAGACTGCAAGGGTCACAGCAAACAGAAAATGCTGCTGGACACGGCTGCCTGGGTAAACAAAAGGCAAAACAGAGGACTCTGAAGACTCCAGTCTCAATGCTGTGGCTCAGTTTATAAAAGTGAAATCACATCAGGTTAGCTTTTTACTGTGCTACTCCACCTCCAGGGACAGAAGAATTTGCAAGGCAGTTACTTAAGCTCAATTCTTGACACTTCCTTTAAAACAAAAAGAAAAAAATCTGCCAATGGGCACAACCTTTCCTTATTATTTTGTTTGGTACAATCAAATTCTATTACTGCAAGCACTATTCTCAGAAAATAAGTCATTATTTGAAACTTGACATTTGCAGACACCCTGAGTAAAGTCAGTGAAGAATTCAGCAAATACTTCTATTTCTATGGCTAACTGCTACTGGGAACTTACTCCAAGCTACAATCATTCTAAGTGCCTTATACTTAAACTCATCTAATACAAGAGCACTGCTAAGACAGGTACTATTATAATCTCCAATGTAAAATAAGGAAAATGAGGCACAGGGAGTCCAGTGATAATGAATGCAGCTGGGACTTACTAGGAAGGGACTGCAGGCCTGAGCTCTTCACTGTATACCAAGCTGCCTCTATTAGGAAATACACAAGCCAATAGCTTACAAACTGCAGAGCCAATCTGCGCAGCTCTATAATAACCAAAGAGGAATCTTAAAGGCAAAACTAACAAGATTCGGCCAGGTGTTGTAATCCTAGCACTCTGGGAGGCCAAGGCAGGAGGATCCCTCCAGCCCAGTAGTTTGAAGTTGCAAACTGTGAGCTGGGACAACATGACTGCAGTCTAGCTGGGTCCCTAGACTAAGTCTTGGAAAGAAAAAACAAAACTGCCTAACAAGATCTTCAGGGTGGTGAGCCTGCGCTTAGATGGCCACATCAGACGTATGCTCCTGCTCCTGCCCTCACTCAGGCCTCCCTTTCTGACGGCGGTGAGATAGGAGGACAGGGCAGAGAGGGAGTGAGGCTGTATGTGTGCATGCACATGGAGGTTTGGGAACTGTGTAGAGAGGGAAACTGGACATGTGTGTGCATCGGCCAACAAGTGAAAAAGTGACTCAAATGAAGAGGAAGTGAGTGCAAATGACTGCAATAGATTTAGGTTAACCCTCACGAGGGATTTTCTGATAGTTTGTTCAACACCAGCCCAGCAAATTTTTTCCAAATTCTATGACTGACATCCACAATCATTTCTAGTTTAGCTGATGTCTCATGAAGGAGATGCATTAGCTTTAATTTGTGTGACCACTTCCCCAAAACATGTCCTCAGAAAGTGTAAATAAAAACACCTGGTTATCTACTGCTGGCAAAGTGAGCAGCTCGTAGAGGGACTAATCAGTGGGTCTTGTAACAGTAACCTGTTACGGATTACATCCCAGTAAAAGGGATTCCTCCTAGGGTCTCCTGTCTCCCTAAGAACCTCCGTTCAATTTCTTTAATGTTTTATTTCAAGAAATGAAAAGCCAGGCCCCTGCACCCCCACTGAGAACGCCCCCTTTCCCCTGCTCACTCTCACCCTCACTTAGCAGCCCCCCTTCCTCTCCCCCTAA